TTACCATTAAATATTTGATAACTCACTATTATTAAAAAAAATGGTATACAGAGCGGTATTTGGTGATTTTTCCCGTCATTTGATTTCACTCATAAAAAACCCAATAAAAAAATTTATTTGTTATGGGGAGTTTATAATCAGTGTCTTTTTTTGTCATAGAAAAAACAGTGATAAAAAAAAATACTGATTCAAACACTTAGTGAATTACTATGATCATTAAATTTAACCCTTGAACAAATCATTTTTTTTTACTACATATTCTCATTTTCAAATCCGGCTCGCTTCCAACAATGCTTTTAGACCCTTTGCTTAGAAGTGGATAAATAATGTTGTCAAACATTTAATGGTGAGGAGGACGAAGTTCTTTCTCATCGTTGAGACTTAGGGAAATCCTGCCATTAAAGTGAAGGAGGGAGAGAAGATGAAGTTTTGTTTGATTCCCAACAAGAAAACTTTAGAAGTTAGAAGAAAGGAAAGCAAATGGAATAAGGTCCACCACTGTGTGTGCTGCCATGGCCGGTAAAAAGCTCAAAGAAACTGACTCCTTTTAATCTTCACAGTCTCTCTCTCTCTCATGAACCAAAATCCAACGCACAGAGCTTTAAAGCCAAATGGAATTGGTTCCCCATGCATATCTGTAATTGCTTTTTGTTTTTGGAGCTTTCGATCTCATCCATCCAATATAGAATCTCTTCTTCTTCATTCCCAATTTCTGCAACATTGGATCTTTTACTCATCCCATTTCAGGGGTTGAGCAAAAAATTTTCATGCCAAAGTTCAAAAAATTCTAAGTTTACGACTTATTCCATATTTGAACCTTTAAGTTCGAGATACAAAAACCTTTTCAATCGATAATTTTTTAATCTAAGACGAACTCCTTTTGAGTTTGAGCTCTCTTCCAAATTAAATCAAACAAAAGTGACTACACTACAATCTTCTGAAGCAAAAAGTTCGCCAAGAAATGGAAAGGTGATCCATTTTCATAGAATATGTTCACAAAATGCAATTATGGTTTTATAAAAATTTGGAAAAAAAAATGGTAAAAGAAGGAAATGAGTATAAAGTGTATAGATTCTGTAGAAATGGGTATAATTGTAAGAAACTTTTTGTTAAAAATGATGGGGAAAAGGAAAAGGAATTGGAAATGATGATGCTGGGAAATGGGTTTCAGTGAGTGATTGTAAACATAATTAAGCTAAAAAGTGAGTCGTGGTACGAAACTTGTAAGGCAAAGCATTAATGGAATTGGAGATCATGCCTAAAAAATAAAAATGGTGAAAGTTTTCAATATTTTGAAATATATATTTTGTGGAATTTTTAATCTTTTTGCGATATTACTAGAAATATTAATTTATTCTTGTCATATCTGTAAATGAAAATGTTAAATAAAAATATCAAACGTGTCGATAAAAATTTAATATTAAAAATTAAAATGATGATTTGTGATGATTGCATGAGTGGCATCACTTTCTCGATTCGAGTGAAATTGACTTTGACCACTAAGTCCTACTTTTGGAATATTAACAAAATCTCTCTATCAAGTTACTAATGTTTGTGGTAATGTGGAGGAATTGTTCTAGCAATTTTGACGTCATTGGAGGTATAAATATGAGAGGGAATTTATAATGTATTTCGAATTTGTATTTTATAATTATTAGAGTTAGATAGATTTTCATAAGCATTTATCTCCGATGATTATTATGGATCATATTGTGGTAGCCTTGTTGAACAATTCTTTAGTGATGAGTGACGAGAGAGTTCAATTTTCTCATTGAGTTAAACACTTTTCCAAATAAATGAACATCAAGTGAGCCTATGCTCAAGTTTTTTTTATATATAATTTATTAAAATATTGACTATAATATATAATAAAATAGCTTTTTTTCTTCAATAAGATTGAATCGATAAATTTAAAATAAAATAAAATAAAATTTAAAATTATGTATTTAATCATATCCTTGAATTTCTCTTGGTTAGAGACACATGTCAATTATCCCAATTATCGTTGAGCTAAACTCGTGTGTTATTAAAATTAATCTTTTTTTAGTACAACAAGAAGTGGCTGGGGTGTGACATTCAAACTGATCATAACCTCCAGAGACATGTGTCAATTATTGCTGCACTAATTTTCGACAATTGTGAAAGTAAAGGGTGTCTCGTTGCTTTTAACTTTTATTAATAAGTCTAAATAACCTTAACCCCTTTTCCAAAAAAAAAAAAAAAGAAACAAAAAACCTTAAGCTTGAAAATTGAGAGAGAGAGAGAGAGTCTTTTAGGAAAGGTAAAATAGAATAATAAATTATAAAAAGAAAAATGAATATGTGTGTTTAGTGTTGGTTTGTCTCCTGTTGTTTGTGCTGCTAGAGAGAATTAGCCAACCAAACCAACAGCTCCCTCTTCTTCTTCTTAGAAAAAAAAAACCCTATTATATATTATTATTATTCCTCCATATATTTCCCCATTGGCATTTGTTCCTGAATCTCCCTCACTATACTCATACTTTCAGAATGTTCCATGCCCCCAAGAAACCCTCCTCTATCAATGACAGGCCAATGTGCGTCCAAGCCGACTCCGGCCTCGTCCTCACCACCGACCCCAAGCCCCGTCTCCGCTGGACCGTCGAGCTCCACGAGCGCTTCGTCGACGCCGTCACCCAGCTCGGTGGCCCCGACAGTACGTATCCAACTTCTCTCACTAACTTCTCTCCACCCTGCCGCTTATGTTTTATTTGTCTTGCCTTAATTCCTTTGCAGAGGCCACTCCCAAGACGATCATGAGAGTCATGGGCGTCAAGGGCCTCACTCTCTACCATCTCAAGAGCCACCTCCAGGTCTGAAATAGAAAAAATTTAAATTTATCGTAACCTAATCACTTAAACTTTTTGAGTTCTCATTTCTATTCTTGAATCGGGTTCAGAAGTTCAGACTCGGGAAACAACCCCACAAGGAATTCAATGATCAATCTATAAAGGATGGGATGAGAGGTGATTAATTCCTCTGTATATATAATTAGTTCCACCTTCTCTTCTACTTTATAAAAATTTCAATCATAATATTAAAAAAAGTGTTGCTTTTAATTAATTAAAATCTGTGTTTGATTATGATATTATTGCAGCTTCGGCGTTGGAACTTCAGAGAAATAGTGGATCTTCTTCCAGCTTAATGGACCGCAGTATGAACGAGTATGGCACTTTTAATTTTAATAATCGCAATTTTTTTTTCTCAAGGATTATTTGGGTCCTGTCATATTTTAATTTTGCCGAATAAACTTCTTGAATTAGTACTCTCTTTTTGACACTTTGTTTGAGGGTGGGGTTATGAGGGGACAGTCCTTTTTTTTTTTTGCTTTTTTTCTTAAATGTTTTTTCTTGTACGAAATGTGTTGTCTGATGATGTTTTTGACATTAATAGCGTACTGAAAGAAACTTATAACTTATGAAAATTAATAAACATGTTTGATTATGTTTATGCTAGAATGCAAATGGAGGTCCAGAGACGACTGCACGAACAAATTGAGGTGAGCCAATCTCTAGTTTTTTTCAACAACTTAGCTGCTAATGTCTGATTTATCAAATTTTCACTGGAGCGCTTTCATTTAGTCTCCATTTTTTATATCATGTTAAGTATCATGTTGAGGATGAATTAACTATCACTCAACCTAAAAATTTAAGTTGATGGATTAGATAAATTTAATTCATATGTAGATATCTAAACACATTCATTTTCATTTTGTGATGGTTAGTAGCATTAATTACTAAATTTTTGACCGGGAAAATTAAGAAAATAAAATATTTCTCTATTTTTTTAGAAAATAATGAGCCTTCAAAGGTGTTAGCATGGAGATAGGTAATACTTGATATTAGGTTAAATGAATATTAGACCCGAATGGGAAAAACTAAATTAGGATTATTTATATGTGAGCTTGAATATTCATAATTCTGAAGGAGAATAAAATGTATTAGATATGAATTACTTAATTACTCCACCTATTTAGATATATACTATACAAAAAAATAAAAATAATGTTAAGCAAGATAAAAATCAATTATTTAGTACTCTCCTTCTCTTCATAGATTCAAATATTAATTCTAGTTTACGAGACCATTGATACAAAATATATAAAAATGAAATTAAAGAGGTACGAAATTGAATTCTATTATTAGACAAAGTAAAAAATCTAATATTTTCAGAAAATTCAATTCTTGAACAACAAATTGAATATGAAATTATACGTTTATATATATACACACAAAAATGAACTAAATTTTGTAGGTACAGAGACACCTTCAATTGAGAATTGAGGCTCAAGGGAAGTACATGCAAAGCATATTGGAGAAAGCTTGCCAAACGCTCGCCGGCGAAAACATGGCCGCCGCGTCCGGCGGCGGCGGCGGCGGATCTTTCAAAACCATTTGCAACAATATGGGAACAACCGGTAATCTTGTTTCTGACGCCGCCGCCATGGGAGGAGGAGCCATCAAAGACTTCATTTCACCTCATCCTAACGCCTTCCCTCCTTTCCAAGACATCAACATATTTACCACCGAACCGCCGCCACCGGCTCTGATCGACTGTCTGAAGAAGCCCGGCCCCTTCATCTCCGGTGCCGGGAAGACCCCCATTTTCTGGCCGGATGATCTCCGGCTGCAGGACTTGGGAACATCTCCTCCCAGCCTGGCATTACCGCCACCGCCACCATCCATCGGGCCAGCCAACTTGGATTCTCTACAGCTGGAAATGTATGAATCCAAGCCGTCGCCGATGCTGGCGGTGGGCGGCGGCGATGGGATGAATGAAAAGAAGTTCGACATGTCGTTAAAGCTTGAAAGGCCATCACCACATTCAGATGATAGGATGAATGGTATTGGTAGTAATAACCCCACAATGTCACAGCTACAGGGAAGAAATTCTTCATTTGGTTAATTTATAATATTACTATGTGTAACTAATAGATAAATTTTATGTAATTAATTAATAGGATTAGGGTTAGATCTTAACAAATGCATGCATACTAATTATTGTGTTTGGAAGGGAAAAAGAAATCTTAACTCCTAATAAGCTTGTGTTGAAGGGTTAACTCTTCTCTTGATCATGAGATATTTTGATCCATTTTCTGATGAAAAATTGTATGTTATATCAAATGAAAAAAAAAAAAAAGTCTTTTATTTTAATATATACTTTTTTATATATATATTTCTTATTTCTTGTTGTATACTGTGGGTATAAAAACTAGTCCACCAGATGTGTTTCCTTCCCAGGTGGTATAAAGTAATTACATTTGATAAATAACACAGTGAGTGTTTCCTGCACTCCTTTAAGAACAATTCATCGATATGGCTGGATCCTATTTTTTTGGACTGGTTGATCGATTGAACGTTTTGGGTTCTGATACCATATCAATATTCATGGGTTCCAGCCAATTGACAATGAGAGTAGTAGCCCATGCATATCTATTATAAACCCTCGTCAAGTCTTTTTTTCTTTTCAATATGGGATCCTTAACATACCCCCTCAAGATCGTGACTTTTTGACTCATCGATTTTTGTCGAATCCCTTTTTTTTTACTGGCTGTTCGTTTGAACGTTTTAGGCTCTGATATACCATATCAATATTTATGGGATTCCATCTCAAAATCAATTGGTAATGAGAGGAGTAGTTCATGTCTATTATAAACTCTTGTTAAATCTCTTTTCTTTTCAATGTCATTTTGAGAGAATATTGATAGAGAGATTAAATGTTCGACCTCTAAGAAAATCTTAATATGTATCTTATCGACTAAACTAAGTCGATGTGGACGGTTTTTCCAAATTAGAAGCAAAAAGAAAGGGTATACGAGGTTAAAAAAAAGAATGGGGTATAATTTTTGGTTTATTATTTCATGAAATTGAGTAGCTTTTTAGGGTTTCAAAGATAAAAACAAAAAGGGATTAAAGGTGGTAAAGAGTAAAGAGGTAATGGAAAAAAACAAGGCACTTCCAATATCGAGGAAGCTTCTTCTTGGTGGGGTTTCTATGCATAATGTGTTACATTTTCTGAAGCTTTTCTTTTTATATCTTTATTCAAGCCAACTATATTCTCATGTTTTTATCTTAATTCCTTTTATTTTTTCTCTACTTTTATTTTTCTTTTCCTTTTCATCGAAAAGCAATTTATTCAAAAGATCAAGAATTCTCTCTCTGTGGAGATTCAGTGTAATTGGGCCTTGAAATGTATCCAAATTATGGACCAAAAGCCATACTTTAGGATAAGAGAAAATTAACCCACATTAAAATCCTTCTTGAGATTTCTTTTTAATTATGTGATTTATATTAATTAAAATTCTAATCGATCCTTACCATGTCTACATAACTTGCATGGTTAGAACCTCTTTTCACATCGTGGATCTCAGGGATCCATTTGACTGGAACTCGTTTTTGGGTTGAAATGCTAGATGATATCATCAGGTCCAAGGTCCCTGCCACTGCACCCATCCTCCCAAGAACTTATCATGGGTATTAAATATATGACGACATATCGACATTTCCATCAACATTTCTATGTATGAGTTTTGACATCAACATGGGTAAATCTTCATTTTCATAATATTGCAAAAACAAAAAATCAATAAAATATCAACAAAATATCACTCCTATAGATATAATAATATTAATCATTTTTAACTTATTTAGAAAATGAAAAATTATTATGTGTTAATTTAAATATTTTTTATGAAATTTTTGTTTTCGTAACATTTCTAGAAATACACGTCTACATCAACATTTTATCAATATTTTCATGACGTTTTTATCGATATAGACATTTAAAATCTTGGTTAAGACCCATATACTCATGAATGTGTTATCCAATATAGTTTGTGCAAATTCAATATTTTTCAAGTTTATCATCCAAAATATATTGAGATTGATAATCATTATTCATGGAACAAAGATTGCTATATATTGTCAACATGGCTGTCCTCCTAGGCAATATTATTCATTAATTTTTTTTTATACATAAGATACCACTTATAGAAGATGGAAGAAGTATGAGAGATACATAGAAAACAAAACGAACTTATATTTAAACCGTTCGAATTTAGAGATATAAAAATGAGATGCTATAATTACAGAGTGACAATTATTCATTAGTTGTCCATTGTTAAAGATCCCACATTGAAAAGAAAAGAGACCTTGCATAGGTTGTATAATAGACATGGACTACTACTCTCATTGTCAATTGGTTTTGAGATTGAATCTTATAAATATTAATATCCATCTCAAGGGAGCGTATAGTGTTACGTTTATTCAATCATGTAAGAAACTAATTATTTTGTGTCTGACCAATTTTAGTAATATATTAAGTTAAGTGAGTTTATCTTAGTTTAATATACAAGTTACCTACACCTGGCATATATACAACAATAAGTAAATAAAAAAACATCTCGAACTTAACAGTTAAAACATCGAAAAAGAGAGACCAGCAAAGATTTGAAACAAATGAAGGTATAATTGCTTTCCTTAATTTGACACAAACATCACTCTATTACACATGTAAATGCCTAAAAACCCATTACATGGAAATCGTGTAATAGTTTAATTTTAATGCAACGTAACGTTATGATGGTCAGCTGCTCTCTCACCATACAAAAATAATCTCTCTTTCTACACAATATTTTGGAGATTGATTTTGTGTAAATTTGAATGGTTGTTGTAGTTAATGTACAGTAAACGTAAGTTGAAGATGCGATTTCTTTGGTGTAAGTTTACGTTACTGTAATAAGGAAGAGGGTTGGACGTGATCTTCTTGCATGGGAACTGGAAGAGAACAGAGAGACAAAATCTCCTCTAAGGTTCCATTCATAGATTCTCTGAATTTGTCGAACTTCATGTATTCGTCTATGAACTCGGGCTTCATTAACGTCTTCGTCTCCCCAATTATATTCAGTTGAGGGAAGTCGTCGAGCTCCAATGGTGGATAGTAAGGATGCTGGTAATGGAGATTCGGATGATCGATAATAGTACTTTGCATCTAAAAAACACACGCAAGAATATATGTGTATATATTATTAGACACGTAGTGAGAACGTTTAAAGGTTTGATTTTCTCTAAAAGAGGTGCAACATGTACGAGAACTTCTCAAAAAGTACTGCTCATTCAACTTGGTATGTGCTTAACTATACTAATATATATTATCATCGTAGTCATTTAAAGGGATGGTTTTGTAAATAAGAAATAAAAAAAAATTAGAAACAAAATTCATAATCCAACAAAATTTAAGTGTATAATATGTAATCTATGGGACAACAATTTTATAAAATTTGAAATAAACAAACAAAGACAAATTAATTAACCCAATAATCCACAAACTAAATGCTTTTCCTTAAAGTTAAAAAACAAACCAATAAAGAAGTGATTGTCAAATGAATTCTTATGCAGTGCTAATTATAAGAGAAACACTTTAGAAGAAAGATGAGAGGAAGGGGTTTGATGGTCAAAAGAGGGTTATGGAGGATGGTGAAAAGAGAGACATTTTTTATTCAGTCTAAGAGATTAAAATTAAGATTGGGAGAAGCTTTTGGGAAAGATATTGTGTTGTGTGTGGTCATTTTATTTACTTCTAACTTTTTTTTTTTAACCTTTAAAGATAAAAAAGACAACTCAAAGGGATTGTGACTGTGGGCCACTCAATATTATATTTTTATTTATTTTTATTAATATATATATATATATATGTAATATGTATATGTCCAATTTATGCTCTCTCTTCGCGTGCATGGATGCCACCACCATGCATGATTAGCGCAATACTTAATTTCCCCACCTTGATTATAGTTATTCTTTTTCAAAAAAAAATAAATAAATAAAATCTAGTGATCAAATTGTAAAAAAAGTGAATTGTTAGATAATTTCTAGTCTATATTATACAAAAATGCCATTAAAAAGTAGGTAATTGGTTCCAATTTTACTTTTAATCTTTTAATTTGTCCTTTAATCTATGTGGTTAATTTTTAAAAAGTTCAATTCTACCTAAATCTTTTTAGTTGGATTTGCGCATTATATTTTAGCATGAGTTATTGATAACAAAGAATATTTCTAAATTAAATGAAAATTTTGAGGGGTAGGGTTATACCTTTTGAAACATTTTAATGAGTGAAATTGGAATCAACTAGATAAATAAGGGTATTTTTATAATTTAGGTCATGAGTTTTTTTTAGAACAAAAATAACTCAATGAGGCTTCCCTTATAAATAAACTCATTTTGTTAATAAATATAAAATTAGAAAGTACACCAAAATATCTCAAAAAAAAATGTGATGTCTCAAAAAAAATATCTTTAGAGAGAACAACATTTTCACTTTAGGTAAGTTTTTTGAAATAAAAGTGATATATTCATTAACTTTTCTATTTAAGTTCACTGTATAAAGAGAAAAACTTCACTAAAGAAACTAACCTTCTTTCTCCCTTATATACCTCAAATGTGTTCTTTTCATTTAAAAGAAATAATAAATTTATAAACTAATAAAGACTATTTTTTAAAAAAAATGAAAAATTTATCATAAGTTAAATTTTTTTTTAATGATTTTGTTTTTGTTCAAGATATGATTACCATTGATAATTATGATTTCACAAAATTAAAAAAAAATCGAAAAGAATTCTGAAACCCTGATGGGAAATGAAAACGAAAGGTGAAGGTGAAACAAGGGTTTTTCACATACGACTAAGCTAATTTCATCGATATCGTTCAAGTCTTTAATTACACATGCACTATGCATGAATATGTATGTAAATCGGCGGCCCTTTAACCTTTATGCCCTTATACCTAAGGTATGCACATTGTTCTTATACTCGTAAATTATGCATGAATATGCACATAAATTATGCATGCAAGAAACCATAAATAACATTCCGAATTAAATCTTTAAAAAAATGAAGGTGTATTATTGACAATCTTGAATGAACTAAAAATGATGGAGACGATGTAGAAGTACCTGCATAAAATTTGAGGGATACAGATGATCGGCTGCACTGTTGGCTTCGTTATCGGAGGCCACCGGAGCGGGTAAGTCGTCGGCGACATTCCCTTGCGTGAGATCGGAGGAAGAGTTTTCAGAGCTGAAGATTTTGGGATTATATTCATGAAGAAGTTGATCGAAGCTATCACCATCTTCATTGGTCTCTATCCCTCCTCTTAAATTTTCGAACCCCCCGCCCTCGTCCCCTTGCATCTCCATCTCTTGCTCGTCTGTCGTCTGCCACATCGGGGCTTCTCCCTCAACTTCGATTGCCTTCTCCCCGACGACCTTCAGTGCTTGTACTGTTGCTTTCTTGAAAACGCGACACAGTGCATAAGAATCCTGTATCAATAATATTAAAAAGGGTATTAGGAATGTTTTGCCTGAATTTATATTCTATAGTTTTTATGTTTTTAGGTCTAGTGGTATGTTAATATTTACTCTGCAAGTAATTAGTGACTTATATATATCTTAGTTTAAACTTATCGAAGATTCATTTTTCGAGAAATTGTTTAATTTTTTGAATATTTTGTAGGGGTAAAGGGCTAAAGCCTAAGGAAGAAAGAGATGGAAATTAAGTACACACATCTATCTAAAGTTATAACCAAAGAGTCTTTCATAAACTCTTATTGATGTTTGTTCTTTTTCTTTTTGGTTTAGTTGAAGAAGGAAAAAGGGGAAAGAAAGAACCAAAAAGGAAAAACACTTGATACAATTGTTCTTCCTTTTCTTTAGGGTTTCTTTTTTTTTTCTCTCTCTCTTTTCTTTTTCAGATGTTGTGATGTTCATGGTTCATCTTCTTCCTTCCACACTCTTCACAATTCTTTCATAATGAAAAATTGAAAAGAAGAAGAAAATTAAACCTTTGTCGAAGGGGACGACACAGGACCAGCGAGTTGAGAATGGAGAAGACGATACTCATGCATAACCCAATTAGTTCTAACGCCATGAGGAGCTCTCCCTTTGTAATAAACCAACGTCTTCTTCATCCCAACTGCCCGCTTCTGCGACTGAACCGCCCTGTCTTTCCCAGTGGCCTTCCAGTACCCGCCCCTCGTCGCCCTATTCGTTCTCGACCCATTTGGATACTTCCGATCCCGAGGGCTATAGAAGTACCACTCCATATCTTTACTGGGCAAAAACGACTTGTCTAAAGACAAAAGATCGTTAAGAACACGAATAAATGATAAAAATACAAAGACAAAGATGAAAAGGATAAACAACATTACCAGGTAACTCCCAGGGTTCGCACTTATAAAGATCGATCTCGGGGATGATCTCGAGCTCGATGGAGCGGCCGTTGATCTTTCTATCCAAATAGTAAGCAACGAGCTCTTCGTCGGTCGGGTGGAAGCGGAACCCGGGAGGGAGGGTCATGGGGGCCATTGAAATAGCTCAAAATTTGTGTGTCTAGTGAGAGAGAAAGAAGAGAGAAGACATGAAGGAGACCAAAGTTGTAGGAGATATAGAACTATATAAGGGAAAAGAATGGAGCTTTAAAAAGTGAGATTATATTACAGAGTGGAAGTTGCTTTTATTGGTGTCTAAAATCTGACAGCTGAAGGGATTATATGGGAAGAGAAGAAGAAGATCAGAGATGTCTTTGTTCTTTGGATGATTTGATCAGCTAAGTGGAACCCCTTTTTTGTCATGTGTGTCCCTTAGGGTTTTTTTTTTAATTATTTAATTTAACTTCTTTCATTTTTAGCAAACAATATTTGACTTGACTAATGATCTTAACCTACATATTTCCCTTTTTAGTCAATCAAAAATCATGTAATTATTATTCCAAACTAGCTTTTACCTCCTTTGATGTGATAATGAGATTTTGTTTTTCATTTGTTATTCTTGAGGATTAAATTTTAATCAAAATATTTTTAAAAAAATCTCAAAATAATTTTGTTAATCTAGACAAAGCCATGATTTTGGAGCTAAAAGAAAAACAAAATCACATAATATATATATGTTCTTTCAAGTAAGCTAGAGACATGTATTATAAAATCACCTGCTAGATCCACGATTAAAAGGTAAATTTAATTGGTACGATATATTTGTCTTTAAATACTCCAATTAAGGATATATAACACTTGTACCCCAAGTATCTCCACAATTATTGCATGATATTATCCGCTTTTTAAACATAACTCTCATGGCTTTAATTTTGGTTTCACCCAAAGAGTCTCGTACCAATGAATAATTATATTTTTTTGGAAAAGATGTACCATTCATTAGAGTTCGTGAGAAACATACAAAAAAGAGGAGGCTTTAAAGAAAAGCACTCCAATGGAGAGAAATGGTAACAATGTCATAATTACAAAAGTGGGGGGATTTTGAAGACCAAAGAGATGCACAAATATCTTTATATCCTCCCAGAGGCTGAGGAGCTACTTTGATGTAAAATAGCGCCAATAGCATTGCTCCATAATACATGGCGCTGCCGTATTAGTGGGGAGGATCGGAGAGGCTGTCACAACGAAGTTATCAATGTGATTAGTAAGCACAAAGGCTATTTTAATTTGAAGGTGTTGAAGAGACGAGTCCATATAGCCGCCGCTGTAAACGGGCAATGAAGAAAATATATGATCTAGAGTCTCGTTTGATGAGAGGCAGAGAGGGCACCAATAAATAATTATCTTCATCTATATACCAATGATCTTCCCTTTATTTAACTAACGTGGGTCTTTGGTCATATTCCCAACAACTTCTCCCCTAAAATATTAAATTAATACACGAGGCTTAATACATGGATCACAAAATAGAGTTCAAACTCAATCTCATTGGCTAGTTTCTACTATACAATAAATATTATATTGAATTGCCAACTAAAGTATAACTCAATAGTTAGTTAAGACATCTAGCTCTTTTAAGAAGTCGTATATTCGAATTCCAACCCCATATTTAAAATGTAATATCTCAAACAAGTCATGTTAGATCATCGCTAGACCTAGAAACGTAGGCTCGTAATGGAAGGGTATAAATGTAAATAACCATGAGAGAGAGAGAGTGTAGGGCTTTAAAGGAAGATTCTATGAGTAAAATAGGATGTGGCTTAGTGTGAAAACGAGGCATGCATTGTATATAAACAAATATACACATTTCTATATATATATTGAGAGTTGAGAGAGAGAGAGAGAGGATATATGATTAAGAAGCTTCGTCTGCAGATAGCTTTTGTCTGCTGAGAAACTAACAAATAAATAAATAATATAGAGAGATCAAACGGCATCGAAATTAAGGCTGAACTAATTGGGACAAAAATAAACAACTCTCAAGTCTAAACCGACTAAGCACCCTATTACAAGCAATTCTCCCTCTTTCTTCATATTCTAATGATCATGTCCACAACCAATTTTAAAAATACTAAGAACTAAAATAAGAACTAAAATAAGATTTAAAACGAATGAAAAAATCAACCTCTCTCTCTCAAAATATTAAAGAGCAACTTTTGTCATTGTACAGTTGTTGAACACAGGGACCCACCCAACAATCTACCTGTCACATTCTTACAGTCTCTGCTTTTGCTCTTTTCCTTGGTGGCTATTATCTTTGCTTTGCCTTTTTCTTTTTCTCTCAGTTTTTTGCCATTTGAACCCCTAATCCCCTCCCCGGCCGGCCCCCTTTGCTTTCATTTCCTTTCCTTAAAATATCATTTTCATTTCGACAAAGATCCATTCCCCTCTTTAATGATTACTGCGCACAATCTTTGACTGCTATCTCTCTCTCCTCTCTCAAAAATGTTTCCCAAAACGACTGAGTTTCAGTGAAGAAGAAACAGACACTTGCGCGTGCTTTCAGATCAATGCTCTTCCACTTTTTTGCTTCTTTAATTTTCAAATATAACTGTTGTTGGGTTTTGTGATATAATCAAAGATTTCTACTAAAAAACAGGGCTTTTTTTTCACTTGGGTGTTTGACAATTTTAAATCTTGGACCTCCAATGTCATAATACACACATTTCTAACAAAGGGTTTTTCTTAAGATTAATTTTAAAAAAGGGGCTTCTAAAATTTTGAAATCTTCGACCTCTGGTGTCATTATACTATACTAACATTTGTGATAAAGGGTTTCTCTTGGGATTTTTACTAGAAAAATGGGCCTTTTTTCACTAGGGTTTTTTAAAATTTTGAATCTTGGACCTCTAATGTTGGATTAAGGGTTTCTCCTAAGATTTTTACTATAAAAAATGGCTTTTTTTCACTAGGGTTTTTGAAAATTTTGAATCTTGGACCTCTAATGTTGGATTAAGGATTTCTCCTAAGATTTTTACTAGAAAAAATGTCTTCTTTTTCACTAGGGTTTTTGAAAATTCTGAATCTTGGACCTCTAATCTCATTATACTCGCATTTCTAAATAAGGGCTTCTCTCTTAAGATTTTTACTAGAAAAGAGGGCTTTTCTTTCACTATATATATCACTATACTCACGTTTTTATCAAGGGTTTCTCTTAAGATTTGTACCATAAAGAAAGGGCTTTTAATGCTAGGGTTTTTGATAATTTTAGATCTTGGACGTCTAGTATCACTATACATATATATAACTCACGTTCTTTGATAAAGGGTTTCTCTCAAAATTTTACTAGAAAAGAGGGCTTTTTTTCTTTTTCATAATCGTTAACAATTATGAAAAAAAAAACAAAACAAAATTCCATCTTTGATCAATTTAAATGACTGTAGGAATTTTGTCCACTAAACCCATGTTTATTCAAAAGAAAATTACAAGGCTAAGACAAATTAAAACTGTTCAAAAAAATGAAAGAGATTCAGTGAATGAGAGGCCATAGGCATAGGCATAGCCATAGCCATAGCCGTAGGTATTATTTTAATAAAGTGATTCTATACAAATACAGGCCAGTAGAGTAGAGAAACAGTATATTCAACTACAAGTTACCACCTTTAGTAGTTATATGATCACTTTACAGTTTTTACACCTCAAAAGCATCATCATATAATTCATACCATAACACTTACAGATGCAAAATCCAATTATTTGTAAGAGAGAGAGAGAGGGGAGGGAGAGAATTTACCCCATAGTTCTTTTGCCGAAAGACCCTTTTATTCCTTTTATCGGCCTTGCTTTGGCTTATGTTTTTGGTCTCAAACGATGCTCTGAGACTGATCTGATAATGTGATGATATCATCCAAACATTAAAAAGAGATTCCAAACTCATCCATTTCACCAATCGAAGTACCATTTTTTTTCACAGAGGCATCAGAAACAAAACAAAAAAACCAAGTGTTTTGACTCTTCCTCGAATAACGTGTGTGTCTGTGTATTATATTTGACCAAATTTCTCCAATGAATAATGGGTGTGAATGAGATTATATAAAAGCTCATTTTCTTCCCATATTATTTTAATGTCATGCCTTTAATTTAAAGCAGTGACATGTGATGGTGTGTGTTGTCTTCCAATCAAGGGAGCCATGACTTAGAATACTATTTTAGTCTATATACTTTCATTTTTGTTCATTTTGATTCAAACTGTTGTTTATTTTAGTTCTTTTATTTCTAAACGTTCATTTTTTTTCCTGTACTCTTAAAAAGTGACTAACTTGATCCAGAAATTTAATGAGTGAAATACCACAGTAAAATTATGATTGAAAAAATGAGATGAAAATGAAGGAACCAAAATGAATGTGTAAAAAGTACAAAGACTAAAATAAACCAAAACTGAAAATTCATGTACTAAAATAGTATTTAAACCATTTTTCTTCTATAATTAAAAACTTCCAATTGAATAATATTCACTCAATCTAATATTGGGTCTGAGATCATCACAATTTCTCGGACAGAGATTATTCATATGAAATGAGAAGAAAATGACATTACGAAATCTCGAAATTTCTGGTGAAATCATTGCAGTAAATTTAAGTATATGATATGTTTTACAACACATCAAGATGTGTTATAATGAATAGAGTGTCTAAAGTGATGCAACCTTTCAGACAATCTGAAGTGAAAAATAGATAAACAAAGGGAAAGTAAAAGCAAAGAAGAGGCTAAAGCTTAGGTTGAAGAGGAGAATTGAGTTGGGGGAAGGCCTAGGAGCATGCTCAGATTCCATCGGCTGATCCGATTTAATCATTTTAATGTGTATGGCAGCACAAAAGACAAATGTTCTGATTCTTCCTTTATTTTGGGTATTATTTTTTTAACTCATCTCAGATTTTAGGCTGTAGCTTTCATGTGAGAGTTCTCCTCACTCCTCAGGGGGACAATGTGTGGGGCTTGCTGATTATACCTTTCCCTTTTCTTTTTCTTCTTCTCCATCTTCTTTCATTCTTTTTTCTTTTCTTTTCTTTTTTTTATATAGATCGGTTAGGGATATATTCACATTCATTTATATCAAAGTGCAAGGCTAAATCTATAATATCACTCTCAAAGAAAGTTCATTAGGCTATTTTTTTATGAGGGATTGGTCAAAAGGTCTGGTTCTATCTCTATATGGAAGACTAGACTGTCCATGACTACAACTACACCAACTTCATGATAAATGTCTGGCCCATTTCCTTACAGCCACTAATTCAAATGTAAACTGGATGTTCCTTTTTTTTCATCCTCTTTTCTAGTGCATATTCGTTGTAATCATTTGAATACAACAATTGAAAAAGAGGAGAAAAAAGGTTTTCCAGTTTCGGTTGGGAATGAAATGGGGTACCATTTGGCAGTTTCAAGGCCCTAATATAACACCATTTAACTTAATCTTTCCTGGCAAAATCAATGTTATCAACCAAATGGAGCACAGTAACTTGTCTGGAAAAACAGCATGTTAATTCAATCAAGGGCATGATAGACTTACTGAGAGCTCAAATTTTCAGACCCAGCTGTCGACGTTTTAGTAGAGAAATTGCTACCACGTTGGTCAAGTGCTATAATTAAAAAAGGTAAAAAGAATGTTATAAGATACATGACAAACAAGTATACAAATCAAGCTATACTTAAAATTGTGTCTATGTTAATACAATTGATAAGTTGTGTGTATATTAATATGATAAGATAGAAAAACAGGGGAAGAGAAATATCTCTAGCCCCAACCAAATTTCACTAGGCAACACATGCATTGAAGGACCAGGGTATACACTTATTTATTATTCTGCTCACAGGGTAGTATACCACCATATACTACGTACCATCAAAATTCCTGTCCAAAATGATAACACTGAAGAACAAGACTACCACCCAACTTAATTCCCGTTCGCATGAATATATTTATATATTAGCATCTAAAACTTTCTATGTGGGTGGAAGATGCCAAAAGGTGCGCAACATATATTTCACAAAATAAATATACACATACTACAATTTGGGGAGGAAGAGAGAGAGAGAGAGATCACTGGTGAAATAGGGGGAAAATTCCCCACTGGTGAAGAAATCCCTCTCCAGTTGTGACTTCTAGGACCAGCAAGACAAGTACAGCCAGCATTGCTGCTCTTCCATTCCAGGTTTCGGCGCTTTTCGTCCAACCCCATTCCCACACAGTTACAGGTGGTGGTAGCTGCCTACGTTGCGAATCGTACGCTGCTAGTAACTCTTCCACACTACCAAGTGGAACCAAAGGCTGAAAAGGGGAGAAAGGAGAAATGGGCATGAATAATAGTTTATCATGAGAGAAACAACCTTCTTCCTTGCTGATAACTAAAATAAAAGGTTCAAATACAATCAAGATAATAAACAAACAAATGTTAGCAGGGAATAAGAAATACATTTACTATATTAAATCAAATGCAGAATAACATCCAGCAGTGAATTTCTTTCATCCAAAGTTATCCCTTTCTAAATCCATTGATACAGTAATTTTTCTGTAAATAATGGAATAAAACTTAAAAGAGACGGTGAGTTAGTAGTAACTAACTCAAATATGAATTTCTGATTTCTCAAACTAAATAATAGATACCAAGAGCTGGAATCCGAATCATTCATTTAGGAAGATGAACATTTATCATAAAGTGGATGGCGCATGCTGCATCTATGTAGTATATCAAAAAGGAAGCCAGTAGTGACCAGTACAATTTCACACCTACGATGCATAATGTTCCAGAACAGATGAAACATCATGCTAAAAGTTCGTCAATTCCACAAATTTGAAATAAACAACCGAAAGAATTTTGATTAATCCAACAAAATAAAATAAATTATATGCAGTTAAAGACAATGAGATTCATGTGGTCCATTGCCATACTTCCGGTCCAGGATTGAGTTTTCAAGCAAAGATCCAGGTGCACCTCGAAAATCTATAAATATAATAGCAAAAGTGTCCACCATTGTGCACTGCGCACATCTCTAGAACACGTCTCCATCTCAACAACTAGATATGCAGCATATCTAGTTGCTGAAGCTTCCAAGTTCCAACTAACCGTAGATCAGATCTCAGATATATTGGAAGATATAATTCATAGTTTATAACTTAAATTTTAAAATCTAGTATTCAAAAATATTGGAAAATAAAAACTTAGTCAATCTTTTTCAGTATCTTAATCATGTTTCAATTCAATAGCTATCAAATTTTATTGCAGGGTAAACGTCAACTATATGACTTGCTTTACTAATTACCCAAATTTCAACTGCATTATTATTACCTATGCAATGGTAATAATTTCGTTGTATTTAATTTTGTATCTTGATTTTTGACATTTAAATCGTTGGCTAGATAAAGAAACCAAAATCTTAATAATTATTTTGTAATTATCCCTGTTTTTTACTACCAAAATTCGAGGCTCTTTTTGCAAGTTTTTTTATTATCCCCTGTTTTGGCTTACCCCTTTCTTTTTTGGTACTTTCTTTCTTCTTTCATCAACGAAAGTTAGTTTCTCATCATTTATTTTAAAAAATAGTCATAATTAAAAAAAAGTAAAAAAAAAAACAATCTATTAAAATAAAGCAAATTGGTATCTGCATATAACAATATAAAACTAAGGTCTGTTGTAGCAGTAATATTCTTCCATAAATATCAACATGAATTTATTCTTTTGAATATATCGTTTCCATTTCTTATCAAAAATAAATAAATATCAACATGAATTTATCTATTGAGCTCTTGGTATTATAGGTTAAGCTTTATTCCCTTGTAAATGGTGATATAATACCTGCCGAGCTTCAAGATTCGAGACAGCCATGGCCCCAACATATGGAAGGCTCTCAATCACAGCATCAGCCAAATCGGATATGAAAGTAGGCTCACATCCTAATGCTGGAACACGTCCCCATTTTTCTATCCCAGATTTTAAAGCCAGTTCTTTATATTCCACGTCAATTTCTTCCAGAGTTTCAATATGCTCACTTACAAAGCTGCAAATGAAGCATAAAATTTTGATAAAATGAATATGATTTTGATTTTTAAAACAAAATGACGAACTTGTCTGCATAAGGTTAATATGCAAATAATATCACCAACTGATAAATGACAACATCTATTAAAGAGATTTTATACGGAGCAGTTATATTTGCAGTTTTCAAAAATAGCAACAATCACTTGCCGGTTCTAGATAATTAATTATCCATTGTTACACAATCACATGCTATCAATAATAATTGAAACATATTAGCAATAATACATGTAAAATTATTAACAAAACATACCTATTAGATTATATATGCGATTCTAAAAATGGAATTTGTGTGCTTCATGAATTATACAAGTTCCTTGGGTCTGATATTTTATTTCTTATGATATATTCTACCGAATAACATCCAGTGATTATTAAGTGCTGTATCTGTAAGGAATTAAAACAGATGTTACTTATGAAATCCTAACTTTAAATTCCGCTGTAATTTCTGATGTATTAAATTATCATTCACCATAATGTTGATGTAGAAATAAACGTACCTGATGGGTACAGCCAGCAAGCTTTTAACTCCTTTTTGCCCAAGCTCTATTATTGTCTCATCTGTATAAGGTTTTAACCACTCCACAGGTCCAACTCTACTCTGTAGAACAAGTCATAACACCCAATTCATCAAGATTGTACACAGTTAAAAAATTATAAATACAAATAAAAACAATAATAGGTGTAAGTCGATGAACCATGAATGAGGAAGCACGAAAAATTTGCCTAACTGCCAGAACAAACAAAAAACAAAATTATCTTGAACCACACTATATCTGGTTTACTTGTAAGTTTTACGGGAAAAGCTTCACAATCTTTGCTCTAAAACTATGATTTTTCTCTAATAGGAAATGAAAACCTTTTTATTGAAACTATGAAGAGTACATACCTGAAGTAGAACTACACCCTCAAATATTCCACAGGTTACAAAAAAAGGTGTTCCATTTAAAAATAGTTGTAGAAGGCTATAGTTACTAAAGGAGTTAGAGAGAGAATACTAGAAGGCAAAAATCAAGCAATATCCCACTGTTCACTCCAATCTCTACATTTGTTATTTATTAACTCTTCACTCCCGTTTCAGAGTTTGACTTGCATTTATCTAGAGAATCTTACCATGTCTTGGAAGTTTGAAAGTAAGTGTAAGACCACACAAAATCTTACCCTTCCCTTCAAAATTGTAATATTATTCTCTGACAAACCATGGCCGATAATTATGATAAATAATGCATCCCAGAGCATAGTCACTGATCACTCCTCAACTACCTTATTACAGGAAAAAGCAACCAAGCATTTAGTATTTATTTGAAGTGATCGAAAGGCACATACCTGATAAGCAAGGGTGTAGCTATTTCGTATCCTTCTCTTTTCTAATTCTTCCATGATCAGATCCACGCATTCCTCCATCTCTGCTTTGTACGGGTCACCAGCCTCTTCCACATATGCAAGGGGGACTCCATGTGCACTAAAAAATATCACTACCTGTTATGTACATGTGTAAGTTACACTTTCATGACAAGGTATAGCAATAGTATGAACCACAGAAAGGTCTATTTAGCATTTGACTATGATCAACAACATTTTATGAACTATATATGTTTGATCATGCAACATGTATTACCTGCTCAGGAAAGTCAAACTTTTGCAATTCCTTTTCAATCAAATCTGCCATGGCCTTTATATATCCTTCACGTTGATACCAGGAAGGTATTACCGTATGTTGCATGTTAACTAGGTACTCATCCTCCCTAACGAAAAAGATAATTTTATTATCATATAAACCAACCCATGATATCAGAATGTTATATGAACATAAAGAATCTGATCTTTACCGGAAGATACTCTCCAAGAGCCGAAGGCTTGAACCACTAGTGGATATTGAAAATTGAGGATAAAGAGGAAGAACGACAAGCTTTGTTATCCCGTCTTTTTTTATCTACCAAGGAAAAAATAACATTCGGAAAAAGCATCAATAAACAAATATAATAATCATGTTTGTGTATCGAATTTTGAAGTTTGAAAGCTCCATCGGACCCAATTTATTTATGAAAACATAGAAACAAGTCAAGGGAGATTCAAGCTCCCTAACTCTCTAAGTATGAGCCTTACGAAATGACACCAAAAACACACCTCTCCCCTCAACTGCAAGACTCCTTAAACACCCAAAACTAGTCTCACTGCACCCTCCCTCCTAACTAACAATATCCACTGGGTCCCACGAATCACGAGGCCTCACTCAATATGTGGTTCTCCCTTTCTTGCTTATGTGCATAAAATTTAGGGACTCGAGGTCTATCAGGGACCCAATGAGGCTACAATTGTTGATCGAATATGGAAAGAAAAATAAACAAAATTTCTAAGCAGCCTACAAAAGAGCAAAATGAAAATACAAACGTGACATTGTCGGTTGCCTTGTGTGTTTTTATCCAATGTTCAAATGCAAGACCCTTTTTTTGTTGAAGCAAGAGACAAATTTTTCATTGATACAGTGAAAACCTCTTTTAATATATATATGTATATAGTGAAAAGTTTGGTTTAAAGTAGGACCCTTCGGATTTTACACACAAATACTTAACTAGAGTAGTTCATGAAAAGGGTGTAAACTCTAAATGATTTGTATAATGGACACCAAAAAGAAGCATTAGATCTAGCCTTTCCTACTACAACTTCCCATTTTCTTTCCTTGTTAACAAAAATTTTGCAATTCCTTCCCAACCACAATTCCTATAATAATACTTTAAATAGATCTTTCCAAACAATTTTCAGCTGCTTCTTTACCCCAAAGACTCCTTCCATTTGCTGCAAATTGCTCGTTACCAAATCGTAAAAAATCTATCCAACATTTAGGAGGTTCAGAATGATATACCAGAATTCTGTACTAAAGTCTCAATGAACAAGCATGATTTTGGTTCTCCCCAGCCTTACATACTACACACCAAGCATTGAAATACAACTTCTTCTTGGTTCTTCTGCCTCTTCAAAGAGCTCCCCAAAAAATTACATGGCCCGAAATACCATAGATATTCACAGTTGCTTTGTAGCTTAACAACCATTCCTTCTTGAACGTACCACCCTCTTTCTTTTAATTGGTGCCACTAAACATTCAATGCCCTCAACTTAAAGGTCAAGAATTCTTTTAATGAACTGCCCCTCGTCAAACCAAAATTAGGCTTGACTTAAGATATATGCTAGAGATGTGGCTATCAAACAAAGAGAGATCGAAGAATCAAATCGACTGTGGCTAAGGTTAAAAAGTTGTGGACTGGCTAGCAGAAGACAGTACAAAGGACAGATAGTGACTATCAGACTACTAAATTAATAATGACCATCTATCCTAGACCTTGTATGCTGCATCGTAAAAAGGTCCTTTCATCACAATCACCCATAAATTAGTGGGGAAGTTGGCCAGCCTAAGTTTGGAACACAGGAACTGGAAGGATGAGTGAGGAGTGGCTTCCTGAGGCAGTCAGTGGTCACCCACTTGATGTGGAAAGAAATAAAGATCAATTTCGATATATTTGGAACCGGCATGAAAAATTGGTATGGTAGCTAAGGATTTGGTCTCTCAATTATCACACCAGGTAATGGGTGGACGTGGTGAAGAAAATCCAATTTCAATGTCGAGTACTAGCAATTGAAGCTGAATTGACTTGGCAAAAGTGTGTGGTGGAGCCTGATATTCTAACTCAGTGCTTGAATGAGCAACAATAACCTGCCTACAGGCTACAGCTCGAATATTTCCCAAGCCTATATTAATCGAACCATGCAGCAACATATTTTTGCCACAATTGAAGCAGTGTAAACAAGAATATGTTCAAAAGTCAGCAACATAGTTCATAAATATAAAAGAAATGTCTACCTGTTCAATTGCTTCTTCAGTGAATGGATGCCAGTAACGCATACCAACATACACTTCGGCTGGAACATCTTTTTGCCATAAGGCCTTCTTCAACTCTTCAGCCTGACCAAAAAAGATATACAGAGGACAAAAATTCAACAACAAAAAACCACTTCTGTCTGAACTTATATTCAACAGCATGTTCCCACTGACACAACTAAGAATTTCAACAATCATTAATCATACTAACTATAAAATTAAACAAAAATTTTGACTGACTCTTAAGCCTCTAAAATGTTGATAACCAATCCCAAGTTTCTTAGATTGTCTCTATAACATCTTGGCCAATAACAAAGTTCATAAGTTGCAAGAAGGGGGCTCCACTATTAACAAAGTTCTTAGATTTTTTGTGCAGGAGGGGGCTCCCTCTGCCCCCTGCCCCCTAGTGCTGTAACTCTTTTTTGTGAGTAATACAAATACGCTTTTCTTATATATATAAATGTGTGCTCTTTATGATAAGTTTCTGATTGAAAACATTTATACCATACCTGAATAGGATAAAATATGCATACAAAAAGGTAACATATCTACACGCAATCATGCATCTTGCATTGACACTCACAAACCATGCAGACAGTATTCAGTATTCCGCTAATATTTTTATGTTATTTTATTGTTAAATAACAATGGAGGTGAAAACATGCTTAGGCCCACATGTACATTAAAAAAATATTAATAATAGAAGAAGAAGAATAAATTATTGCCTGTGCATCAGTTATCTTTCGCAGAGGAGAACCACCACCAATTGAGGCATAGCCTTCTTTACTCTTGGGCGATCTTAGAACAGAAATAAAGTGTGCCAATGGTCTTTGGAGAGAACGGAACAACCGTGGCAATCGTATTATATCCTATCCAAAAGATGAGGTAAAATGATTTTAGTCACATTATGTGACGAGAGCATCGCAGTCCCAAAAACTAAGTACCAGAAAAACTGCCAACCCATGTACAAGACAAATATATGTAAAAATATCAACATTGATTATGGCAAAATTTTACTAAATGTTAGTAAATGACCGGTAAAACTGAAACACGGTACAGGTCAAAGTGAAAATCCATGCAAATTATGTAATGACATTTGTTCCATCGTATAGCACTTTGTGGTTTCGTCAAAATGAAACATGGTATATGTCAGATTCAAATTCCAAGAATGCTAAATGCATTCAAGAATTTCATAAGTCGAGGAGTTCTTTTTACTTGTCAAAACCCAAAGGGCAATAAGCAAATATTTTTTTATTGCAAAAGAGATGAAATTTGAAGATCGATTTTGATGGTACCAATTCCATCATTATTCAAAAACCAAGAAAGATGCCTGGTTAGGTTACATTTCAAAAATCATATAGCATAATCAAGTTCTGATGGCCAATCATTTATCACCTGTTTGATCTGAAACCATAAGTCAAGTAGTCACCACTATTAAGATCAAACTATCGTCTTAGGCACAAATGGAACACTCGGCACACCAAGAAATTGGAAAGAGTGAAGAAGAATATGTGATATATCTCTTCATTGTCAGAACCTTTAAACATAATTGATGCAAGGCAATAAGATAAAACAAACTTTTAAAGTTTCATCCCATCCAATAAAGGAATGAATAATCAGAACTCCATATTAAAAAGAAATGCTCAAGAGAGAATGGGATTTGTTAGGGAAATACCGGGTCAGCAAAGAGGTTAAATAAGAAAGGCTGCACGTCATCAAGAGTCTCTGGACCTCCAAGGTTAAGCAACAACACCCCGACCTTGTCATCTCCAATTAAAGGAGCAGCTAGAATATCTTGAGTGTTTGACGCAACCAATGCTCTCAGAGGCAGAAAATACTTGTTGGGTGATTGCTTAGAGAACATAGATGGTGATTCTGGCCATTCTGAATAGTATCTGGAAATTACGTGATTTTTTGAGATGTTGTAATTAGTACAAGGATCCATATGGAGCCTGAAGCAGCGATGCATTCTTTTAGAAGAAGACATTACTCTGGAAGCTGGCCTGTGCAAAGAAAAAATATTAATACTGCTACACTAAATCAATTCATGTGAAACCGTAGGGTGTACTTCTTCATCCCTGACAACGAACTGAAGTAAAAACATGATTTCAAAACTTTTATATATGAAGATCTGGCGTAACAAATAATAGCCTAAAGATAATAAAACAGCATAAATATAAAGGCTGAGTATACGGAGAAAAATAAGTAATATAATTTATAGGAAGACAGGAACCTTGTACAATTTGGAAGCTGAACTATCAAAATAAATTAGGACAACAATGGATAAGTTTTGATATGAAAGTGAATAAATTACCAATACATTAATCATGCGCTAGAGTACACTTACTGCCAAGTAACCATTTAAAATAACATGGAGCAAACTATTGAAAAATGAAACGTGATTAAGTTCATTGAGTTTATGTTAAATCTGCCTTCCTGGCCATTACATCCTCTTCCCCTAAACTGAACTCGGCCACAGCCTCTCTTATTTCGAATTTCAGAGTCCCAAAGAGGGTCAAAGTCTTCCTTTAGGCTCTCTTCTATCAGGGTACAAATACGGCAGAGAAAATTCAGAAGAAGCTCCCTCATTGGACTTTGTCTCCTATTGCTTGTGATTTGTGCTGGCAGAATTCAGAAAATGTAGACCATCTTTTCATGCATTGCTCTTTTGCTTCGAAAGCTTGGAGTTACATGGCTTCTCTCTTAGATTTTTCCTTTTGCCTCCCACAGTATATTGATGACTTCGTAGCAGAAGGTTTTGGTGGAAATGCCCTCAAAGGAAAAGCCTTTGTTCTTTGGAACTATGCAGCAAGGGCGGTCCTTTTGACTTATCTAGCGGGAAAGAAATAGCAGAATTTTTTAGGATAAAATTGCTTTGATAGATTCTTTTTTTGTGAATAACAAGCATACGGCTTCTTGATGGGCTTCAATCCACAATAAGGTTTTTTTGTAATCATGGTCTTCTTTTGATTATGCCAGATTGGAAAGCTCCGATCGTATAGTCTTTCGGGGAGGGTTTTCTCTACCCTCCGCTTCCCTTTTTGGGATTTGCTTCTAAATATACCTTCTGTGTTTCTTATTAAAAAAACATGAAAACAAACAAAAAAAACAAAAACGAAAACGAAAAAAGGTTCATTGAGTTCTTGTACAATTACATAAAACATCTTACATGATCTCTTAATATGGCAGAAAACTAAAGTTACTGAACAATTGATGCCAAACTCGGCTATGGTTAATTTGATGTCTTTAAATTGGATCTGACATTCCTAGGGAGTACTTTATCATCTGTAGCAGCTATCATGTCTGTCCCCATCCAAAACAATGGCATCATACCTCACAGAGGTAGACAATTCTAGTAAACAGCATTAGATTCAAAGGAAAGATGAACACAACAACCACCCCAAACCTTATAAAAGCTCATACCATTTCTTCTCTGCATAAACTATTACTATTACAAACTTAACAGAGATAGGAGAGAGAGAAGTTCGGGAAGAACATTGTGAGTCTTTGAATTTTTATTTTTTTTTAACAAGATACTAACTTTCATTGATAGATGAAAAGGAACAAAACTATTCAAAGATACAAACTCCAAAAACAGTAAAGTCCTCAAAGAATTTTGTTAGATATCCAATATATGAATTAAATTTACCCAACGCATTAGTTTAAGCTGAGTTGAGTGGTGGTTTATTCATCCTTAACGTGGTATCAGAGTAGGAGGTCCCTATGTTCGAACCTTGCATTGTTATTTTCTCCTCATTTATAATGATTTCCACTTGTTGGTCCTTTGTGCAATTATCCAAGCCCATAAGTGAAGGGGAGTGTTAGATAGATATTCAATATATGAATTAAACTTACCTAACCCATTAGCTTAAGCTTTTGGGTCGAGGGTTATTTATTCATCCTTGACAAATTTTGATGCAGAAGATGTGGTTTTACCATGACATCAGGTCGAAAGTTAAGGAAGGATGTCAGAGAGAAATGAAGAGGTATGATGAGAAGAGGCACAATGATATTGATGCAACTAACATCTAGAACGCGGTGATTAGCACAAATAAGAAATAGCCAGTTCGGAGTTTGGTCAGTAAAAAGTAATGTGTAATATAGAATTTGCTACTAATACCGATCAGCTACTGATAGGATTGGTCCGTAGGGTAATAAAGGGATATTATTACGGACCAATCCTATCAGCTACATGGGCTCTTGACTTTATATTATAATCCTATTACCCCATGTCATATGAATCCAGTTTAACTAGCATAAGTTAAACAGTGGAATAGGCTAGTGGGTATGCCCATTTGCCCTGAGAAGTAACTCACTAAGAAACTTCGGTTTCCCTCAATCGTACCTAAAGTACAAGGGACGATGAGTTGGGAAAAGGCACCAGATGTAATTTCAGAGCTGATGAATGCTCCCAAAGAACCTCTCCACGCCACCTCTCAGTCAAGCACACTACGAACCCTCTCCTCAAAGAGTCGAGCTATTTCATTGCCCTGATGCTAGCCTATAAAGTAAGCCAATCCTTGCCCATTACAAAGGAGAGGCAATCTCGTGACAGGATGAGTCAGAAGCCCTACGTTAGGATGTGGGGTAGCCGGAACCTGACCAGTTCACTTCGGCATTCATGCGTCGTGGGTGGGCAGAGATCAAAAACCTTCACTATCAACCGAAAAACCAAGCATGATAACTCCAATAGCCCCAGGTTACATGTGCAAAATTATGCAACTGCCGAGTATATAAGTCCACAGCTCCCTTATAAGCTCTTAGCACTATTGTTGAACCTCAAATAACCATGGTGGACATATAGGAATTTTCACAACAAGCCAATCAGAGAAAAAAACTCCAGTATTTTACAAACGAGAGAAATGAATGCACATGAAATGCAGACAACACTTCGTTGCATACCATAATTAAACGACTATAAACCGGGTGAGCAGAGAACTAAACGAAAATGAGCTTACAACGGAAATTTGCAGTTCTGAGAAGCAGAGGTGAGGCATGGACTACGAAATGCAGAAGAAGAAGGCGGAGAAGGTGGAGCTTGAATTGCAGAGTCCATAGCTTAACCACTACCCCAGTAACACTAACCCCCAGCTCTCTTCGAATCTAAAACAATAAACCATATAAACCCAAGAGTCAGATAGCAGAACAAATAACACAGCAAACTAAACATGGGTAACAGCAATGAGAATGGTACACTTCGGTGCAACAGACGAAGATCGCGAGAGTTTGAGAAATTGAAGTATCTGTCAAATCAAGCCGGTGCAGAAGCTTGGCATCAGTCACCTCCCATTTGTATACAGAATCATCAAGCGCAGTGCAGTGAAGAAAGCGTATGATAGGGCAGCCGTAGCAGCCAATGCCCGCAGGGAGAAGAAATGGACCAGCCAGCGCCACTTCTAATTCTCCGCTTTATCCAATCTGATTCCAAAAAATTTTACCACCCATCAAAAATTTCCCCCCTTTTTCCATTTTCTCGGCTCATTTTTCCCTCGAAACAAACAGATCACATATGTTATTTTCGGGGCTGTGTCCCACCCCTGAATTCATTATGAAACAGCGACAATTCTGGATAGAGTCAGAGTCCTATGGTTATGGTTGGGCTTTATTTTCCGTTATTTTCCTTCTTTTTTTCTTTTTTCGTGTTTCCAATGCCTGTCTCCGAGCAAAGGACTAAAAACCCACTGATTTTAGCAAATAAATATCAGTGTAGCAATCAACGGCTTAATTCGGGTTAGCGTAAACTTCCATCGACACTGTTCGAATAACAAAATGTCTTGGTACTCAAAACAAACGAAAATCTTCTCGTTTCTTAGATTTTTTTAAGAATGTTACTTCATAGTATAAATTGGTATCTATAATCCATAATATAATGAGCTTAGTTTTCTTAATCATCTGTTCAATAAAATGTCTGGTCAATTATTCTTTTTAAGTTCAAATTTATCCATAATTGATTTTTGTCCGATCAAAACCAATGGAAAACATGTGGCCTTCCCCGTAAAGGGTACGTATGTCTAGACCTCAACTTTGACATGTGCAAGACTAAGAAGAAATGTCAACTGGTCTTGAACTAGAGTTCATCTCAATTCTAATCTATGGAAGATTCTAATTGACATAAAGTTTGTTGAAATTCGTGGAATGATAAATGTGTTACTATAGGATCTTCCAATTACAAAAATTCAGTTGAATGTTAGGTATCTCAATCGCGGTTCCCAACGCTCCCCTCGTATAAAAGATGGAGTCGAGCCTTCCAAGTTTTACGCAATCTATTACTTTCTACTAAGCTCGGCTTGATACCAGCTTGTATTAAATTATAACTTAAGCGTGGAGTGTACGTGATCGAGCATCATACCAATGCAAATGTTACGTTTGTAGGTTGCTAGTGAAACCACGTCATAGCCCATGTAAGCTCAATGTTAACGCATGACCTTGACCACAATAATACGCATCAACAACTTTAAACAACTTAAAACTTGTCGTTCTACTAGGGGTATTCATAAAACTCGTTGGCCCAAAAAAAATGGTTCAATGGTTCGCCTACCAGAGTTTTGGGTTTAACCAAATTAACCTTTTAAGTTTTATTTATTTTAATTTTACTTCATTCAATTGTTTGACATTCTTGCTATATGGGCTCTCAAACCAATTTTTTTTAAGGTTTTTTTTGTTAGTGTATTTTTTACCATATAAATAAACATTGCTTTATAATATCAATTCAATATTAGACAATAATACATCTGAAAAAAAAATATTAGACGATAATATATAAATAAATGGTTAAGATATTATATTTGTTTATATACATTACACTAAATAATTGACCCAAATAACACGAACCAATCCAACCTAAATATTTTTATGGTTGCATTGAGTTTGATTTATTATTTAAATCAGGGAATTTTACAATCCAAATAATTAGTCGAGCCTAAAAAATATCTCAACTCAATCCATTAACCCCTCTAATTCCACGTAATAGTATTGTCTAACAACTTTATTTTTATAATACACATGCATAACAACTATATGAAAAAAATACAAATAACATCAAAATTTTAATGATTGTTACCGTTTAATAACCATTTCGTTTTTTGTTTTTGGTTTTTGATTTTTGTTTTTTAATTTTTCAAAAATATGATTGTTTGATAAACAACTCAATTTTTTGTTTTTCAAAAATAATTTTGAAATTCCATGTAATTTAAAGAAAAAAAAGTAGTTTTTGAAAAATAAATTTTTGTTTTTCAAAATCTGATTTTTTTCTTCCCATACGCAACTTTTTTTTACTCAAATTTATTTTTCACTCTATTTTTTCTAAATTTATCTCTATTTTTTTCTCTCTAAAATTTTCATATTTTGAATATTTATTATTATTTATCTCTCTCCAAATTTTTCTCTATTTTTTACTAATAGACCAGTTTCATTTTTTTATCTAAAAATTTAATATTTTTTTTTAAATTTTTTTCCTCTAAAATTTCATCTTTTATAACCTTTCTTTCTCTTCGTAACCTATTTTTTCATTTGAAAATTATATTTTATTTTCTCGCTCAATTTTATTTCACTATAAATTTTATTTGTCTCTGTATTTATTTATTTTTATCTAAAAATTATATTTTGGATATTGTTTTTATCACTAAATTTGTTTCCACTATAATTTTTCTCTTTCTTTATCGTTTCTTTTCCTTTAAAACATATATTTTCCTCTCTACTTTATTTGTGTGCTCTACAATTTTTCTATTTTTTTCTTTAACTTTTTTTTTCTAAATATTTTTATTTATTTTCATGTCTCTAGGGGGAGGACACAAATTTCTGCAGGGTCGGGTCCCAAAGATAGGAAATGCATGTCCCGACCCGTATCTATCTCCGATTCCATTTTTTAAATAATTAATATATATTTATTACACTTTTTTATACTTAAATTATACAAATAATTAAAAACAATTATAAAACCGATAACATCTCTCGGACCAAGAACGAGGTGGAGATGGAGACTAAAAATTTTTACAAGCACGAGAATGGGGGAGAACATCCTCACTCGCACCCACACCATTGTCATCTCTACTCTACATAAATTTTTCTCTATAGCTATTTCAATTTTCTAACTTTTTAAAAACAAAAAAATAAAAAATGGTTATCAAACATGTTTTGATCTTCCGTTTTTTAAAGACAAAAAACAAAAAATTGTTATCAAACATATATGGTTTACAAGAAAACAAAAAATTGTTATCAAACATATATGATTTTTGTTTTTTTAAAAATAGAAAACTAAAACCAGAAAAACCAAAAACAAAAAATTAAAATTATTATCAAATGGATCCTTAGTTTTTCCCGTATATGGTAAGAATTTCAACTCACAATTTCAACTCACAGAGTTAGAGCAAATAATAAGATATGTAGTTTGACCGAAGGCGGTTAATTATTGATTAGTTTAAATTATAGTTTGTAAAATGTATAATAATATCCACTAATGGACAAAGTATTATTTACTTATTTATTTTTCTTGAGAAACGGCAAAGTATTACTTGACATACAAAGTATTATTCTAATCAATTACTGGGAAATTAAAACATATTTTAACAAAAAAATGACATTCAGAGCAGTCCATAATCATTTTTAGTACAATATCTAGGATGAAGATCAAACTCACAACCTCTTGATGGGAGATATATGTCATGAATTCATACTGCTGATCTATACTCGTTTTGGTATATCTATACTATATTAAAATGGGAGGATCTCGGAGAAACATTTTTGGACGCTTTTGTCCCTTTCTTAATTTATTAATTTACAAATTATGTTATTAATAATTTATTATAAATATTAAATTAATTATTGATTATTAATTATCAATAATAATATAATAATAAATATCCATGATCTAAACAAGGTTAGAATACAAAAGGTTTTTCACACTATTAAATTAAATTATTTTCTTTAATTACAATTTATAATAGAATTACAAGAGTTTTGTAACGTTTTATCTCCTAATACTATAAAAACATACTTTCTTTTACTATTTTTTCACAACACTTAATTCTCTCAAAACATTGCTCTCAAATATTATTCAATATCAAAAACATCTCAAAATCATGTTGACGACATATTCATCAAGTCATAGAGAATACATGTGTCGACAATATATCTTGAATCAAAGGCTTGCGAGATCATCGTTCCATAATTTATGAGGTAAAATAATAGTGATTGTTAAGCATCAACATATTTTAGATTAGTGTATTAATAAACTTTGATTTTTTTTTTTGTTACTATTGTTTTGTATTGTTCTTTTATAATTAGTGTTTTATGTATTTAGAATGTTTTTTAGAAAATATAATAATGTATTGATCTATTACAAGTTCATGTTGATTTTGTTGAAAAAAAATTTGTGTAAGGTCATAAAGTTTTAATTAATTGTAAATAGTAAATTAATAAATTAATTATGTACAATAATTTGTATGAAATCTAAAAAGTTGGAATACACTAACTTGAATTTAAATTAGTATAAACTAAAATATTTAATATATAACAAAATGTTAGCTTGAAATTTTTTTAGAATTTTTAATAAACAAACAAAATATTTTTAAAAAATAATGGACCAAAATTAGATAAAATAACATTAAAATAAAAAATTAAAGTATTTATACATTTCTTAATCAAATATAAAATTCTTTAAGAGGTACGAAACAATGCAATTTAAGTACATTCATAGATTAAATGATTAAATTAGTAAAGTACCTATATTTTAATGAAGTTTGTATATATACATCTTAATTTTTTTCTTTTTTTGTTTATTATTGTTATTATTATACTAATATTGTTTTTTCTCATTTATTTATGTTATTGTAAAATTAAGTTAAATAGAAAATATTCGTGTATTTGCACGAGGTATCGAACTAGTAAATTTAAAAGTGATCATCTACCTCTCCAAACTTTAATAATCATGTAAGAAGCTTTTTTAAATGAAATGAATAAAAAATGTTAACTTAAAATTTGAGTAACTAAATTATCATTATATTCATATATAGGCATGTGGACACGTTACCTACTCAAATAATATATATGTTATTGGTGTAATGAGATTTAAATACTATTTTAGCCAAACTGTCAATCTCAACAATTTTTTTTTTAACACAATATGTTGGAGTTAAATTTAAACTTACGACTTTTTTTATATCATAAAAATGTGTCATAATTATTTGAATTATACCTAAGTTGGTAAATTTTATAACAATAGTGGAGATTTGTATACATTCATATATATATAGATCAATTAGCCCAAAGTGAGATCGTGGATATGACATGTAATCCATCAAACAATGGTTAAGGAAAGTTAAAAAAGTTTCGATAGAATTGAAAACGGGAAAATTGAGAATTTAAAAAAGTTAAAAACGAAATGGAGAATTACCCAAAGATTAAAGATTTAAGGATAAATTTATATATTTAGCAAAATTTGTGATTATTGGGGATATAGGTTTTACCAGTCCCGCGTTCGTCTGCCAGGCTTGATCAAGGCGAAGGATGTCGTTTCTGTGGGAGAAGAGCGAGACGTGGAGATGGGTAGTGAGGAAAACCAGGGATTCGAAGCCCTTCTTCTTCGCATTCGCCACCGTCTGCGGCGTCGTTCCCGGAGTTATTGGCTACTGCGTCATGCAAGCCACCAATTCCCGCAACGAGCAACTCGAAGCCCGCCTCCGCCAGAATGCTAGACCCGAATCTCTCGTATGCCCCTTTCTCTCTTCCAACGCCCCATTTTTTGTCTCAATTTTGCTCGACAGATTCTCGATCAAGTTTCTCCAATTGAGAATTTTTTGTTCCGTCTGAAATTCCGGTCTGCTTCGTCCGATCGTGTTTAATTTCAACATCTTGCTCTGCCACGATAGTTATGATTTGTTTCTTTGGAATTTCCCGATATTTCGACGGAAAACTTGGCGGGTTTCTTTGTTTGCTTGAGCTGACTGCTTCATTGATCTGTTATTCTTGATCAGACCTCTAATTTCTACGGTATTAACATTTCGAAGAAATTTTGGCATATAAGTATTCATCTACAATTGCTTTAACAAGAAAGGAATATCAGACAAAGTAAAACCAGTGTGCCTGTGATGTGACGTTATTTTCACTTACACTCTACTGCTTCACATGCTGTAAGCTGGTTGCAAGATTTTGCTGTTCGGAAATGCCGCCTCATTCAGGCCATGCCATCTGTAATAGGAATATGGCGTTTAATTTGTTTATTCACACTAGTTAATCTCTCCTGCATGTTGTCATTTGAGCTGCATCAATTTGCTGGATGGTGCTTTCATGTATTTCAACACTTCTCTCCATGATATATTTTCACGAGCTGCTTCCACCTTTTGAGATTTGGCTCATCTAACCACCAATAGTGCTCTTACAAGGCCATATTTTGTGAATTCATGGGAATGTCAGAACTTAAATATGCCGTATTTTCTGCTGCAGTAGCTTTTTTAGCTGAGTAGAGTGCATCAGGTATTGTTTATCATGTGGATTAATAAGTTTGTGGTGTTGTTACTGGAAATTGAAATTCAGATGATGGGGCAAGTGAATCGGGAGAGACTGGCAGAATATCTTGGCGAGCTGCAGAGGAAAGAGGACACAAACGATCGCTACGTTGCTGCTCTGAAGGGAGAGACGTTGACAAGGAAGCCATATGTGAGAATTCAACCAATCCCAACCGAAGGCAACGATGCTGCTGACAAGGAACAAAAGATCAAGAAGGAAAATAAATAAGTGGGTATGTGCTGGTGAGATTTTGGAACGTGATCTTGCTGTTTTTGGGTACATCGTAATGGTATAAGTTCTGAAAACTTCAACTTTGTATGGAATTGGTATGATGTAACAACTAACTTTTCAGAAGCTTTGTTTGTTCCAAATGCTTTATGTTACCAGTACCACCACGAGTTAGTCCTACTCATTGACAGGCTTTGTGAAGCTAATGGAAATTTTTATCAAATCTTGATTTATTCTTTGCAGCTATTAGCTTTTATGTTTCAATCAACTCTCCTGATGCTTTTGATTAGTACAACTAGTGGTGGTTAAGAGTCTATGCTTACTCTGGAAGATGGTGGAGGGGAACTCTGCTTGGAACTTCTCGAGGGGTATGAATATGGTAAGAGAAAACATTAATGATAAGTGCTCAACTTCAAATTCAGTGCAAATCTTACGTGCAATTATGCATTAAGATCTTTGTTTGCATCACAAGAAATTTTTAGTCAATATAATACTACGGTTTCTTTATGCTTACATAGGAGCACATTGCTTTTCCTATGTACACAGAGTTCCCACACACACACACCTAGAAGTAGAACATTCCTAGACTTTTGATTATAAGATTCTCATGCTCAAACAACATACTTTTGTTAATCGCTAAATCCTCGATTCCTGTACATCATATCTATCTTATTATCATGGACATCAAGCATGTTGTATCTCACCATGACCCTGGTGCAGTCACTGATCACCCTGGATATAGCCTTAGGCGGTTTCTGATAGGCTGACGACATATAGGGCAATCGGACAATCTCGATCCACAGTCTCTGCAGGTCTGCAATGTTTGAATGTTAGTAAATGTGTTTGTATTAAGAGATTGCAACTAGTATGAACGGTAGACAATTTGATGGAAAAGATCCATAGAATGTACTCATTTTTTAGTTATGCCTATTATCTTATAATCTACGTGACTTCTTTGAACTAGAGAATGAAAGGCTGATGAATCAAAAGATGTTCTGTAGATATTAGCCAGTTCAAACTCTTTACCGTGTGGCCACATCCAAAGGCCAAGTCCTTCCCGTTGGTCAAGCAAATGGGGCAGACCTGCATTTGAGTTCGAAAACAAAAACAAATTATTGTTTCTATACTTGATCCATCCCAAAATTTGTAAGCAAGAAAAGCAATGTCCCATGAGTAAAGTCCCGTACTAGAACATACCTGGTTTCGATCATCGGATGTAGTAGAGGCCAAAGTCGAGATGGTGTTGCTTGGTTGGGGAATAAGCCGTGCAGGTCGAGTATAGAGCTCTGGTGGGGATCGTGGAATAACTTGCTTCGCTTTTCCTGTCACATGTCTTGGCTCCACATCAAAAACAAACAAAGTTAGGACATGTTTGAGAGTGATTTTGACATAGTCACAGTCAATTATGTAACTTTCTAAAATCATTTGTATTTAGCTGTCCAACAATATCACTCTCATTTAAAATTAAAATAGTAATGTCACGTTTGACAATGATATATACATGATTTTAGAAAATGGCAATTCCAGCTGATCTCAGGATCAAAACACCCTCTACCAAGTAGTCGGAAGGAAAAGTACCAGAAGAGTAAGCCATACCCGAGAAGACCCATTTCTACGACGGCTTTGTACTGGAGAGGAACCTCCATAAGTGCAGCTAGAGCGAAAGCTGCTTCTTTTTCAGGCGTGGGGATGTTTCTGGACATTATCTCAGTGAAGTTGACGAACTGCACGTAATTGTTAGAAAATTTCTGATTTTGTACAATAAAATTTGACTGAACTGATCAAGGTCGAACATGGAATTCTGGTATGAAACCTGAAAATTATCAAAATCCCGCGCTGGAATCTTGTCGTCAAACTTCTTCATGTCGTCCCAAGGCCTATCTCCCACTCCAACAAGAATAATCGAAAGTGGATATCCACTGGATGAAAATTACAACATGAAAATCTTAATTCTATATGTGCGCCTGAGAAATATAAATATGTTGAACAATTATTTTTTTCTCCAATATCAAATTAAAAAAGAAAAAAGGACATCTTTGATCTTTTATACCTTCCCTCCACAATTGAATGAATGGTTTTCTCCTCTTGAGGGCTCAATTCACCATCGTCAGTGCTGGAGCTTCGCGTAACCTTTGAAACAAAAACATTCATTTTTTTTGTTTCAATCGTTGAGAAAAAAACACAACAGACGAAGAAACAGAGGAGTTTGAAAATGGAACCTGTCCGTCAGCAATAATGAGCAGAATGTGAAATTGGCCACCACTTTTGTCCACGATGTCCATTGCGGCTTCAACTACGGGACCGTAAGAAGTTGGCCCTATAAATAAATAAATTAATTAACATTTGATTTGATATAGAATTAGAGATACTGTTATTCTGTGGCGGATTAACCTGAAAGTTTAACGTTTGGAACTATCTTTTTGTAGCAGTCCAAAACTTCTTCAAACCCGTGGCATGCCGATTTGTCACTGTGGAACCCGAACACTTCTTGATCGTGTGTCGTTGCTGTCACCAAGGCAATGAAACACCAAATAAATCGGATTATCACTCCCTAATTTAGTTTTCTAATTAATTATGTTTTCTTTTGTATGATTTAGCGAGGTTTTCACCGGGTCTTGGAAATTATTTGATTTTTTTAACTAAATGTAAAAAATAAACCGTTTTCAAATTTTGTCATATATTTTGAAAATGTCCACATAAATTTCACGACAAATCAATTGAATACATGCGTAGAATAATGTTTTTAAGCTTATTTTTTAAAACATAAAACTAAAAATGAATTGGTTATTAAAATGATAAAATTTTTTTTTTAAACAAGCATAGTTTAGCGGTAATTGATATATACCTCCAATCAAGACGCCGTGACAAATCAAATGAATAGATGTGTAGATATGTGAAAGTGGTGTTTTTGGTTATTAAATGAAATAGTTTTTTTAATACTATTAAATGACATCTAATATGTAATTTTTTAATGACATAATCATCTCGGTTCACACATTTTTAAGAGGCTTATTCTAATCCACAATCTTTATAAACGATTTCTCATTTAACATTGTCTTATTTTAAATTAAAATTAAAATTATAAATTAGTAAAATTTGTTATATTATTTTTTCTTTTAGTGAGATCCCAACAAACAAATTTAATTATCATATTAAATCATTATCTTCTCAAATAAGATAAAAGATGTATAATAATTTATTGAATTTAAATCACATTATTTAAAATCATTTTTCAAACTTTCCTATAACAATCAGAAGGTTAAATTAAATTGATGTAAAAAAGGAAGAGCTGAGGTTACCGTCGCCGAAGCCAAAGCAAGGGATTAAGCCATCGTCGTCGAAAGGAGCCAGAGTCTTCCCGATAATCGACAGAGCCTTCTCGTACGGATTAGGAGTATCGGAAATGGCATGCAAGCTCCGATTGTTGAACGATTCTTTACCTGGGCGCCAAATGCCGTCGTTTTAGGCAAAAACGTGATATGAAGTTATGAACTATGAAGAACAAACAATGAGAATTAGTTTGAATTTTGAGAGACCTGTCCACTCGTTGCTTTTGGTGAAATCAATTCCGACGATGAGGTTTGACGATTCCAATCCTTCTCTTCTCAAGGCTGTCGTAACCTATTCAGTCAAATTTTGAATTTTGAATTCTTAAAATGAATAACATAAATAGAAGCAGCACATTAGTGGGAAGTGGGAAAATTCTGCGGATGATTTCAAATTCCTACGGATGAACTATGTTACTGTTAAGGATAACGGTATCCACGTATATCCACAATGGTACCTAACAATCTTCCTCTCGAACAAAGTACCACCGAACTCTGATACCATTTGTTAAGAATAACCGTACCCTGAGATATTGTTCGCTTTGAACATAACCCTAACCGTTATTTCAAATATGTATATCTAAGGATGTGTACAAATATATTGAACTACATAAACTGATTTGAAATAAATATTGGGTGGGTGGATGAAAATTTTGGAGAATAAACTAGTTTTTGTAAATTAACTTTTTTTTTTTTTTTTAAGTTAAGTGACAAGCATAGATATTTTAAAATTTTAGAGAGTAAATTAGTTGTTTTTTTTTTTAAAATTTTATTTTCCAAAATGTACCCCTTTTCAATTTGAGCGGACAAATAACTTTTAAATTTCATGACTCGTGTAGTTTAGATAGTTATCTTCGATCAAAAAGTTGTGAATACGTAATTCTAACTTATTATACTATATATATATTATAAGTGGTATAAGGTTGACTTCGAGGACCTAAGTTGGTTAGAAAAATATAATCCAAACTGACCTGAGAAAAAGAAAGATATTGATTCACGCATGAATCTCAACTCAAGCTGATTTTATAACATTTTTTTATTGTCATTCACGTGATTGATGTGAATGACCATTTATTTTTTGTTTATTTAATTATTTATAATTGTTTTATACGTCATCTCTCATTTTTCTTTTAACCCATCTCTCAACCTCCTCTACCTCCCAGCTATAATTTTATTTTCTTCTCTCCTGGTATGTTTCCTCTTTCTTATCTCTTTCAACTTAGAGATTTATTTTTTCTTTCGTTCTTTTTCATTTCAAATTTATTTTCTTACCTCTCCTCTTATCTTCCCTTCCCTAATTTTCAATTCCAACTCTTTTTCTCTCAAGGAAAAGTTCACAAAAACAACGGATATGATTATTTATTTATTTTTTAATGTAAAGGTCATGGGAAAATAGAATTACTCCAAAGTTTCGTGGAAAACACAGAAAAAAAGGAGTCGATTTGTCGAAAACCGACCGAACCGATAGTTGGTTCGGTTGACAATGCTTCACCATGTTGGTTGGTCGGATTTTTGGCATGAAAACTGATCCGATCAACCAATGTACATCCCTAAGCGAAGGGTTAAAATTATGACCGAAAAAATGGGATAAAAAATGAAATGCTTTTTAAAAGTATATGAATCAAAATATTATAAAAATTGTAATTTTTTAAAAGTATATGAATTAAAATATATATTTTGAAAGTAATTGAAAGGTGCTCTCAGTGTACCGCCATACGCACCCAGACATTACACCAATTGTGGCTGGCCCAACAGTTTCCAGAATGCCGTTGTCATGATGTTGATCCGGCTTCTGCGACTACGGCATCCGCGTAGCTC